CTAAACAAAAAGGAAATACTTTTCCCTTATAACATTTTCAGTATAAACTTATGGGACCCAACCTGTGGTTCTCAACAATAAACTATAAAGGCTTTTTCAATTTGCAAATTCTTGTCTGTAGAGTAATGGTGCACTATCTGTGCTTTTAGAGATGAAGATGCTGATCGAGTATCTTGCATATGAAAGGAGTCAGAGAAGCAGAAAAAAAAAAAAGGGAGGGGGATCAGGAGGGTACTTATATAATTTGTATATTCTGTATTCTGTATTCTCAGCTTCCTGGGGGCGGGGGGAAAAGCCTGAAATAATGAGATTTATCTAGCTTTGTTACTCACCTTTATTTACCTTTAAAGTACTGAGAAATTTTTTGTATAATTAGTAACCACACAGAAAACACTGCTGATACTGGGGTGCGGGGTGATTTTACCCTGGCACATTCCTGCCAGAAAGGAAACTGCGGCACCCAGGGAGGTCTCGCTTTGCAGTCTTCAGCTCTCGCAGGCGCTGGCTGCATTAAGAGCACACCAAAGCTTCTTAAACCTGAATCACATCGCTGAGGAAGTCGGCTGAATTTTTGGGTAGTGTTTTTACATATATAGCTTCAGAATACCCTCCCCTGGCCTCCCGTTCTGAGCTACCTCCCAAGGGAGATTTCTCTTTCCACTGAACACAGGGAACCTAATATTGTTCTAACTTCACCTCTAGGAGCCTAAATTGTAAATACCTCGGCAGGAAATTACTGCAGGTGTATTAGTCATTTCAAGAACTAGAATGTGACACTTCTTGAAGATGCATTACATCGTAGAAACAGCACAATATGATTTCATAAAGATTTTGCAAACATCCAAGTTGAGTTCTCCTTGTGCAATACCGCATAGAGGAAGATACTGGGAATTAAAGACGACACAATATTTAATCGTCCACAAAAGGAGGTCACTAAGGCAAACAGGTCTAAGCTAGTGAGAAAAACTGCTGAGCTATTGCGTAGCCTGTCAGTTCCGCTGAATCAGAATATTGCATCAGAGATACATTCTGTCAAAACATTTTCAACCAAGACTAACGAGAACATTATTTGCGTGAAAGTAAAAAGGAGTAACTCTATCACTTTTCCATTAAATTAGCAGCTAAGAATTTGACTTACACAGCTTTTTTGTAAAGAAGTTTACAATGAATCCTTTCAAAGCATTTTTGCTCACAATATGCATTCCAAGCTATCCCCAACACACACAAGTTCTAGACACTAAATTAACTTGAATGGCCACACAAAAGAAGCATGTCAAGGAAAAAAATATAGGAAATTAAATCAAAAGGGAAAAAAATAATAATAATTTCTAGTACTTTATGGGTTTGGCTAACCCTCAGTGAAAGTCTGTCAACCATTTAACTAGAGATGTCAAGTCTTCACAGAACCAGATAGTGGAACCATAGCTGCTCTTGTGTTCAGCATAAACACAGCATCACCAAGTACAACGCAAACAGAGATGTCCACGTTCTTCTGGCTCCAGGAAGGCTGCTAGGCCTAAGTAAGAAAGGCTCAAGGAAGAAAGGGGAAAAAAAAAAAAAAAAAAAAGAAGAAAAAAAGGGAGAAAAAAAAAAAAAAAAAAAGAAGAAAAAAAGGGAGACGCGGGAGAGAAAGTGCAACTATAAGAACAAACAAGCTGTAACTTAAGATGGGGGAAGGCAGGGGTCTGCCTAATGTCACTCAACAGATCAATGGCAGAACAAAGAAAAAAACAGATTTCAAGATAACTTGAAATAAGAATATTTGCCCCTGAAATTGTTATAAAAAATTACTTTTTTTTAAGGCCTGACTGTCATTTCTTACTATAAAAACCTCTATTAATCTAAATAACTCCTTTACTGCCTTCTGCAAGCAGCATGCACTTCAAGCTCTGTGACTCTTTTTTCCAAGTTATAAAACATGCATTTGTGCAAGGTAGGTTTTCATGACTTGTTATTCTTTATTTTTAAAAGTAGGCTTATTAATTCAGTTCTATTTTGAAAGATTAAGGCTTGTTCCCTAAAGCACTCATGACATAATGGTAGGATCTAAGAGTGAATAGGAAAATAATTGATTCTATATAGCACACTTATAGAGGTCCCACTAATTCTAAACCAATGTTTCAGTTTTAAATAAGCTAGTCATTTCATTTACTTCAAGTTATTAATAAAATCCATGATTGTAAAACATGTCTTCATCCTTTTTGTGTAAGTGGAATTTAAACTCTTTCATTCCTATATGGCAGGAAGGAAAAAGAAATCATGAGCAGGTAAATTTTTATTGAAAATAAATTTTTAGCATCTAACCCACCACAGCATTATGGTAATCATGTTCAGTTTAGGCATTATGGAACTACTTCATGCATAAAGAACTACTTTTGTGACATGCATTTTTATCATCAGAATTAAGCGTCTTAATGTTTTCATGGATTTTCATCGTTTCCATTGCTTTATGGATTTCCATGGTTTATTTTCATCTCAAATTTAAACATTTTTCCATGTTAAAAAAAATGAAGTATCTTTATTCAAGTAATTTTAATGGGACCATAACCTTAAGAAGTTACTACCACACAAGAGAAATTTTGAAGGACTGCCCCCGCTGCATTTTGCCACATATTCCAAAGGGGTTTTTTTCCTTAAAATTATTTTAGATTGACACATGTAATTTTTTGTGTGATTTTTGCATGAATTCTATGTTCTGCCAGGTTTTATTTTTTGTTTGCTGTTCTTTTTTCCACTTGTTTCATATCCAGATATAAATTAACAACAAGAGGGACTTGGACACTATTTCTTCTTTTTTAAACAGAATTCGTAGAACCAGAATAAAACAAATTTGTTATGGATATAGATTATTAAATAATTTCTGGGGAAAAAAAAAAATTTAACCCTCAATTAACAGGTGTTAACTCCACTTTCAACTTAGCTCTTGCAATGTTTTATCACATGGCATGCTTGCAGCATCACTGAAACTATATAGGTTTTAAGTCCTATATACGTTCCTAGAGAAAGCTAACAGAGACAGTAACAGCCAACTTAAAACAATGAAACTTTTGATCTTGACTGGAACACACTGGGTTATAAACAAATGGCATGTATCTGGCTGTGTCACGCTGTGTAAAGAACGTAGGAGGAACTACCTCAGCAGCATCAAACAGGGTGCCAAATACCAACCAAATTCTAAGTCAGCTACACATCTCAAATGTGTTTTCTCACAAGTGTCCAAAGGATTCCAAAGGAAGGCTAATAAATCTACTTATGTACACACGAAGAATGTAGAACATAGAATGAAGAGTAAAAACTTACTGCGATCCAGTGAACGTTCCAAAATGAGGTTCAAACCAACCAAAACCGAAAGACAACTGACTTTTAAAGTCTAGGAATATGGACTTGCTCCCACTGAAGTTCATGGCAAGTTTCCATTGATATCAGTTTTGTAGGAATGATCTCTAATACTGCAGTTTAATGTCTAATCTATATTACTGTTATTTTTTGGCACAATTCAACTTGGAATGCGGTAGCGTGATATGAAAAGGGTGTTTTGTTTGCAAACTTGGAATGAAATCTGACTTGGACTAGATTGCACAATAAAGAAGCCAGCAAAAGGGAATTTGACACTCACCATTCTGGCAGAAAACCTTAAGTTTCTCAAAACTAGAAGATTAAAAATACTTTGATATTGTTATTTGAAATTAAAATCAGAAGGAAGAAAACCTAAGTGTTAAACTCTGCCAGATTACTGGAATCTTTGGTTATTGATCATTACCTTCTTCGAAGCTGTTTGAAGCTAGTAACAAAACTAGTACCTAAAAACACTGCAGAATTAAAAAAAAAAGTCTCACTGGCTACAAAACAGAAAAAGCTATTAATCCTCAAACTACCTGTGACAAATCCTGTATTTCTTCTTCCTTCTGAACTATTACTGAGTTAATTGGGAGTTCTCAATCCCTATTCAGCACAGTACTTAAACATGTTCTCAACTTTATACACATGAGAAAACCTAAATCCTTATCTAAATTTGACTTCATTGTAAGTTAAGCATAAGTTTATGACAGAACAAGCACTCTGGTGTTTTGTTGAACTAGGAACTTGATTTCTACAGATGGGAAAAAGTCCCTCTGACTTCTTTTGCTCTCGCAAGTGCTAAATCCTCGCTTCCATCAGGTCACTGTTGTGTGCCTTTAGCAAAATATGGATAACAGTTATTTGACAGCAAGAGCTATCATTTTGTCAAGTCATTACTCAAGGATAATACATGTGGAGAGGAAAATGGAAAATGGAAAGAAGCATAGCGTGAATCAGATTCTTAACCTACTACTACAGAATAACACAATTAGTGTATTTTCATTATTATTACCATAAGCACATATAGAGAAGATTAAGAGGATCAAAATTAAGTTTGGATAGTATATTGGTGCTAAATTCAGCCAGATACTAATGCCAGCAAATATTTATATTAACAATTAACTTTGTGCTATGGAAGTTAATATACTACATACAAAGTCTGAAATAGAACACCAGGTTTGGAAATATCTGTTAATCAAATGAAGTACTATGTACATTAATGCTTTACTCACCCTACTTAAGCAATATGTCTTAGTCATGACTTGGCAATTCAACGACCATGAGGTCTTTCATCTGTTTCCTGACCCATCAAATAGTATCAGTCAAAAGAAAATGGGAGAGAGGCTGCTTTAATGCAGTGGATGTTCTTTCAAACCAAACTGAGAGGAAGTCAGCATCTCCATTTGTGAAGACTTTTGGTTGCCATTGATCAAAGACAGAGAAAATTCAATGACCCAAATTTAGAAGGATCTACCACACACTAACAATTCCTTGGGTCAGTTAACCCACTGTAGTTTATTTATTCCCTGACAACGTCACAAAAATGAGTCAGTGCTGGTTAATAAGAAAATATTTTCTCCTGTTAATCAGTGACATCATTTGCAAAGTGGAAGGTAGCAGATACTAACAATTCACTACAAAATAAAAACCAAAATCTTTACCCTAATAAAGAGGATCTTCTCTCCAACTCTGTATCTTCCTTGTGAAAGACGCTCCACACAGAACTTATTAGGGCATTTACAAGGAGGATCTTCAGAAATGTGTTTAACCTGAAAAACACGGAAGTTATTAATAGAAACTGTTTAAAATGGCATGTGTAGCAAAACATTCAAGGCGACATTTGCCATAACACGATATCCCTAACCTAATCTTCATTGATGATATTTTCTTAGTTTTTCTTAATTTTCTTAATATTTCTGTAGTCCCAGACTATGGTGCTTCCAATATCAAGAACGGTTTTACAGCTGTGATGAGGTAACAATAGAGACAAGTGTCATGCAGTTCAGCATAAAATTTGCACTGTTTAACTGAAGTGAAACAGTTTGTTAATTTGAGTTCAGCATCAGACTTTGGTAGATGTGTTCTCAGTATTTTATGGTGAATCAGCGCAACTGTCAAAGTGCAAATATAACTGACGGGCAAAATGAAGATGTCATAATGATGTATTTTCCCTTCTAAACAAATATAATAAACACAGAAGCATCTTGCTTATCAGTGAAAGGCCCTGCCCAATACCTTCACTTGACACTTTCAAACAGTGCACTAACGTCTTAATAAAAGTGTACAGAGAATACTGTGACATAATCGCAAATCCATGCCAAGGTGCTTCCCAGTATTGCTAACTACCCTTTGATGATCTCCAACCGAGGGCATTAGTGCAATCAACAGTAATTGAAAGTGGCCTCAAGAGTACTCTACTCTATCATTGCCAACAACAAGGGCTGAGAAAATACAGATGAAAACTACTTTCCTGCTTTTTATCAGCTGCATCAGCTTGACTTCAGCCTCTTGTGAAAACTTGGCCTTGCATGTGCTACCAAAGGCATTAATGCTTAGTAAAAGTTTATTTTGTACTCTTCAGTGATCTGAAAGTAACAACGCCAAAAGAGCAAATCTGGTTGAGAAACTCTTATTTGACATTCAAATCACACTGCTGCATAGGAACAGCAATAACAAGTGCAGCATTTTCATATACTGCAGTTTTCTTGGATGAATGCTGACATAGTATGTCAGTGTCAAACAATATAAGATGCCAGGGGAACTTCCTAGAGGTTTTGTCCACTTCAAATAATATTCCAAAGACCTTTTCAAATACAGTTAGTAAACCAAGGCCTGTAAAAAAGGTCTGAGGTCTGGGAAAGGATATTTTTAGAATAGCTAACAAATTAAAAGTCTTAAACTGTTTCAGAAAAAAAAAAAATCAGGGCAAAGCTATGGCACTTTCATAGGTGTTGCGGTTATCTTGAATAAATGAACAGGAAAGGCTTCTGAAGTACAACAAATGCTTTTCAGATGTGCTTTTAGAATAAAGTTATGGTATGTTAAGTAAACCAGAAGGAAATTAAAAGTTAATGAATTATTTTTTCTACATTAGAGTAGGGAGCAAAAATGCTTTTGAAAGTAGCCCTGTTGACCTATTTAAAGGCTTTCCAATTATTTCTGAAATTGTTCAATGTTGTTACCTGAGTAACTTTATTACTTTGTGGAATATTTTTTGCATAATTATTCTTAGCTTAGCTTTTTTTTTTTTTAATCAGGGCATGATATCTTTGTGAAAAATTTCATTTTAAAATAACACTTGGCAGAGGAAATCTACATGTATTTTACACACACAAAGTTTTTCTTGGGTATCAGATGAGCTGTCCTCAGTTTGAACGTACAATCACTGTATTATTTTAAGATTAATTATTCCAGTGATTTTTATCAACATGGGTGAGCATTAGCCTCCATTTCTGGATAGTCAGTGTATGATAGGAGTAACTTATATGAAGTCAGTGATTGACAACTTAAATCCAAGTTCAGGTTGCTGAGGATGCAAAAAGTGCATTCCTGTATCTCTTGCAATGTGGTACCAAGACTGGAATTGTGCTTAGAGGACTATTTGGCAATGGCACTCTGAATGCTGCCCGATAATCAGTGATTTCTGACATAATATCCTATGGCATTCATCACCTCTGGAGACACTCTTGAAATTCGAAGCTGACAAATGGATAGCGTGAACTATGCCTTAATAGCTGCACCTACCGGGGTTCATCTAATCAAGCAAAAACCCAGAGTAGCCAGACCTAACGGGTTCAAGGTTGTTTTGAACTGTGTAAGCAAAATAGAGCCATCTTTGGCGTGCGGAGAATGAAAGCCAACAGATTTATACTGGTGCAAAGCAGAGGATAATGAGACCTTCACTGCTGATCCTGCTGTTGAGGCTTCCATTACCCTACTATCCCAAAGGACACAGAATTATTATTGAGTGGAATTTGGAAATCAAATAAGGAAGCAGAGGGAAGAATCATATCCTATTTTATTTTGTGTCTGGACTATATGAGCACTGCTGCTATTTTATGGTGTGAGTGTCTGGGGCAGTGCGGGTCAGGAATCTAGCTGGATGAATTCCATTCTGTTTCTATCCCTACTGCTTTCTAAATTAAAGGAGGTGGTTGGAGACAACCTTCATACTTTCTGTTCTGTTCCTACAAGATACGCAGTCACCACCCTCCTTCTATACACAACTGTTCTTTCTCAATTCTGTTGAAACTTAAGTGAGTGCTTTTGCAAAGTTAAGGAAGAAATACAAAACGTAAAAAATGTTAAATGTAATTATTTGCACCAAATAGTACAAAGTATTTCAATAAAATGAACAAATATTATATTCCATCTGCTCTTTGTAACAAAAAAGTGGCACATGGATTTTTCAAGAAGTGCTTTGTAACTCCCAGGTGGCACATCTACCTTGTAATACAGCAGTTACTATAGTAACTGCTTCTTTTTATAGAATATATTTGTACTTTTCAAGTTTAACCTCTTCATGGTCTCAGAATGCGTCCTTTTAATCTGATTCCAGCTGTTTCAAATGAACCCCTCTGGGGTTTGCAACAGAGAAACAAACACTACAGTATAGTGCAAAGAGTTTAATGAAATTCAAAGAAAGATACTTTCTTTCTAACAGTGAGAAAAAAAATGCTTTTTTTTTTTTTTTTACCACGTGAGAAACATGCAGAACAGCAGCATAAAAATTAGGCCAAGATAACTCAGAAGCATTCGTTAACATTCTGTACAAGTCATTATGGGCCAAATCTCCTAGTCCTGACTCAGTCCTTTCTCAGACAAAACACCAAGTGGGAGTTGATGAATAAGAAGTGAACAGAAAAAGAGAACGGAGTAATAAGAAGGGAACTTGGCCCTAAGCACAAAGCTAGACTAAACTGCATATCTCCTACACAGACTGACATTTTTTCCAAACTTCAGGCATAAATAATTGTGGTCAAAAATAAACTAACTCTATCAGTCTGCTAATCTTTAAAATACAGTGAGATGTTAAACTTGGGCTTCTGTGTGCTTTGCAAGTGCATACCAGAATGGGTCAGATAGGAAGAAGCTTCCTCCCACAACTTACAGCATCATCCAACAGTTTCCCTGTGCTCTTTTTCCCAGGAGACTTTGTTGGTGACGGTGAAGGAGATGGAAGGGGGGCTGAAAGTGTTTCCTCTTGTTCAATCTCCTTTTCCAACTTTATTAATCCAGGAGGCTCCACCCCAAACCTTTTGGAAACATGCAAACAAGTTACTAGTCCTTATAAAGCATTACATACGTTAAAACAAAGCGGTGGAAAGAATTCATACTTTCTGTATTGCACTATTGTGCAAAAATAGAACGCTACATAGATTAGCAAACATGTATAAAATATGTCAATCATTTATGCCATCATTCCAAATTAATACAAAAATTTAGTTTAGATGTAATGTCTCAGTTGGTCAAATTTACAGGAAATACAGGGTTTTTTCAACTTCTCTGTCTGATAACATATGTTGGTGAATGACTAACTTATGAACAACACTCGGCCTCAAAAAATGCTATACCATGTAAGACAGATTCAAGCTCAGTGCATTCGCCCTTTCTTTTTTCGCCTTTTTTTTTTTTTTTTTTTCCTCCACACAACATCCTTTCAAATTACAGGACAACTTATATTTTGTGTTAGTATTTTTCAAAGAAATCCAGATGAAAAGGGATTAAAGGTTATCCTGGTCTCAACTATTGCACTGAATTTATAGACAAACAAATTGAGACACGGCCAATATTTTTCAGAAGTGGCTAAAGCTTTTTCTAATTGATTTTTGACAGCAGATCTTCTGTTTACAGTGGCAAAACACTTGTAGCTCCAACTAAAACAAAATACACGCAACTTTGGCATGCAGCATCTCAAACACAGCACTTGGAGAGCAAGGCTCTTTAAAACAATGCCTGCTTTTGAAAGCTTTATGGCAAGTGATTAAGTCAGTATCTCACAGCAAGCAGCAGAGCTTGGACAGATGTCAGAAGTCGAAAAGCCCATCCCATTTTCCTAATCACCAATAATCCCCCTCTGTTTTTTTTTCTTTGCCAACACTGAACAAAACCCAGAAAAATAGAAAGATTTCCTTTTTCAGAGAAAGACTTCAGCTTGGAAAAGTTATCATGCCAGGTAGGCTTCTCATAGCAAACTACGTGCATAAATGAAAACATATTTTCTTCTGTAGTAGAAAAGTCCATAGCCCAAATGCAGAACTATGCTGACTTACCTAGGTAAAGATCTGGACACTAAAATATTGAACAGTAACAAATATATTACAAAAATCTAAGCTAAATACCGTAATAATGTTAAAAGTGCACAGAGAAAGGGCATAAGCGCATATACAATCTTTTGTGGATTTCTGATAACTTTTAATTTAGTCACACTGCTGCCTAGTAAATTAACATGAAGAAAACAAAGAACCAAATCTGTGCTTGTATTGGCTTTTAACTGGTGCAGTCTGCCTAATGAGAAGTCAGCCAACATTGAAGCAAGCACTTATATACAATCCATTTACTTCCTGTCTGTCTGCAGATGCCGACAGGCTGTAAATCATTAAATTCCCACTGGGCTCTAAGCCTACACCTGCATGCAGCCTTACTCATCAAATAAAACTCTTCCACAGCAATGCTGCTTCTTGGCTTCTACCGCTTTTCATAATCTCCAATTTTTGTCATTGTGACAGATTTTTAAAGTTCCCTGTACTTCCAGTATTCTGAATTCCTCCGGTGATGAGTTGAAAAATAAAACCAATGAACAAACAAACATACACTCATATTTTTTCCACATATTGTATCAACCTGAAGCAAAGTTGCTGGAAAGCTGAAATGGTAAAACCCACATGTTTTCTGGGAGGGGCAGAGGTACAAATTCTCTTCTGGAAGGTATGCTGAGAATTTCCTTTTCTGCTCTTTTCTAGCCTTCCTTCTTGTAACTACAAATGAAGCAGCATTGGACTGTAACATGATCTCCAATAGACTTCTTAGACCACTTCCCATTTTTACCAAGGAAAAGTTGAATACAATAGCAGAAAGATCTCAAAATTGCTCAACAGTAATTTCCAAAGACCTCTGGGTTTTGTTTAACCGCCCCCCCCCCGAGTTTAATAGTTACCCAAGAACTTCATTCTTTCTACAGAAAAGATAATTTAGCTGTTTCCATTGTATAATCTCTCACTTTAAAATACTTGGGGAGAATGTTGGACCTGTGCAACCCACTGCAATAGCCCTGTGTATTGTCAATGCTCAGTTTCATCCTGTAGGACGCTTCCCTCATAAACGTTCACTCGACCGACGTGATATCTGCTGGTGCACACAATGGCCTATTTTAGCTACTGAAATTTCACAGATTACCTCAGAACTTTGTTTTCATAAACAACTGAAATCCAGGATAGTTTATCAGGCAATCCTGATAAATTTTTAATTCTTATTAGTACCTGGGCTTTGAGCCGCCACTCTTTGAGCCAAGTGGTCACAGCAGTTTTCCACTCACTGTGTAGTCCATCCATCCAGTCCATCTCTCTCTAATTTGGCTAAAAGGACACTATGGGAGAATATGCTAAACGCATTGCTAAAGCATAGGTAAATTATCACCTATCTCCCCTCATCCACAGAGTATCAGCTGAATGGGTTCAAGTTTAGCTGAACAGAGCTCAGTTTTATCTCCTCCTCAAACAACCCCCATTCCTGCTCACTTGTGTCTCAACCCCAAGCCTATTTTCATTAAGAAGGCAGGCCTAGGATGATTTATAGGAGTTATAGACCCTAAGACTAAGAGTAATCTAGCTGGGCAAAGTGTGCTAAGAGCTGGCTTCCCATGATAAATAAGCTACAGAAAAGGAAAAAAAAAAAGAAGTTATTCAGTGTCTCTTACTCTTTTCATTCTTTAAAAACATAATCAGGCACCTTTTCAAAGATCTCTGCAGCCTCTGTTCTGGAAAGCAGACCCCTAAGATTGTCAACAGACCCAGTTTGCTTTACAAAGCAAGCGTTCATCTGACTTCCCTCCTATATAAAGCAGCGCAACAACAATGTCAGTTCAATGTGCTCTTTCCTATGCTTTATGGAGGCAACTATCTATTCTCCTTTTTCCATACAGTTCTATTTTACCACAGCTCAGGCAAAAGTGGCATCACTTATTTGCTTTTCAATTATATTAACCAGATGTTCACCTTCAACAGTTTTTGTGCACCTTGGAAACTTACAAGGTTATAAATGGGGTTTGGTTTGTTCTCAAAGAGATATTAGAGCAGGAAAAAGTAGACAGACATATGTCATTTGACCCCTAAGCTATAAACAAAAATAAAATAGAGTAACATAAATATAATATAGAAAATACATTAATGATATATGGTAATATACATGTATTATAAATAAAAAATAAAAGTATTTTAAAGGCAAAGGGATAGATATGCATAATAAATGAAAACATCGTTCAGTATTTGTTTTCATGCCTGGAACAGAGAACATCTGAGACATGGAAGCTTAGGACAAAAGACAAACATGAAGGATAAGATTCTATCTTAATGCCCTTGTAGATTTGTTGAGAAATCAAATCTTGTTGCAAAATGAGATTAATCTAACTCAAACAACTTCAGCAGAATCCAACGCTGCCTAACCACTGACCTGCATTCTCCGAGGAAGCCGGATACTATCAAGTAATCAACCTGAGGCAGACATTTCTGACAGCTATGCCCTGGGTATAGGGTCTTTGGCTGCTAAAAGGTCTGTCTCCAAGCTGGGGTTCTTAAAACCACAGTTTGTTTGCTCAGGTAAATTAAGACTCCTGAAAATCAATTTCATTGAGCACCTACAGATCAGAATACTTTCTTATTCATGGAAAGTTAAATTAATTTATTTTTTTTTTACCATGTTGGACTGAATCCAAGTTTTACGGGTAAGAATATTTCTGCAAACTGGAAATAAACTCTTTTTCTGGCCAACACTATTCCTATGCAAGATTCCACTGACAGCGAGGGCTTTTCTGAAACTTGACCAAGAGACAAATTTCTAGTTAAGCACCTTCCCAAGTGAGTTGCATTCACAAAATAGGAATACCCATAATGCAATTATAACATGAAAATACTAGTTCTTAAGCTATGAATAAACAGGGGTCTCCTTCGCATTGACTGTAACCACAAGGAAGTCTTCTGAAACTATCTGAATAGCAAGGCACTCCAATTTGATACATATGGATGAATGCGACTGCAATTTACATGCAAGACTGGGATGCAGCACTGCTGTTCATACATTCTGTAGCAAATCTTACGTGCTATGCTGGTTAAATCTGCATCTGCAAAAAGGGAAAAATCACATTCTAATTGCTGTCATTTTGATTGTCTAGTAAAAGTCACTGTTGTCTTGACATCAAAGATAATGCTACAATGTATTGAAGGTCCAGTCTGGCTAGAATCATCTGAGAGAGACAGAACACAGACTGTTAACTCAATTCTTGTATTGCTTCTGTTGGTGAAAATCAGAGCTAAATTCATTTAAATAAATCAGAGTCAGTGTTGCTCAGATCAGATTTAGGTCATGCGAGGATCAATTTATTATCAGTAGAGTTAATGAAATCTCAGTTGTTTATAGAGAGATCTGACTGTTAGAAACAGCTCAAAGCTTTAGAAAAAAATTCTCAACTCTTTCCCCTCCTAATGCGAGGATAGCCAACAAATACCTTCATTGAGGTGATGGTACAGAGATTTCATTGTATTTGTTAACAACTGCCCACAAGATATTCTTGAGTGACATCAAGACAAGCATTCTCCTTGAACCTAATGAGCATAAAAGTTTGCTTGAGATGTGCTGATTCAGCCAGTCTCTCAATAGCCAGTGCTGTCAAGAATGTAAATATTTCTTCATTCTTTAAATATTTTCACCTACCTTGCTGCAATCCTTCCAAGTTCCAGCAAACAAAGGCACACTTCTCTTGGCTGCTTGTGGAGAACTGGAAAAGCAAAATGAAGATGGAAAACATTTATAAATAAAAGCTATTTTAAAGATCTTAGTGATGACTGGAACCTAATCATCAACATCTGTAACTCTTGACTCAGATAAAAACTTGGTTTTCTTTGGCTTGCAGTGGAGTTTTACTGGAATAAAAGGATGGGATTGAGGACTGGTTCTTGAAGTGCAGACGATTTAGCAAGTTTCCGTTTAGTTATCCTTTAGTTCCTTTGAAAATACCATTCTAAATCTAAATCACTGAGTAATTATTTGGGCTATTTGATAACCTGCAAGCAGTTCATGACTACGTAAAAATAATCAAGAGCTCTGGCAGAACACTAAAATTAGTTGAATGTCAAAAATAACAACATTAAAGTGATACTTTTCTTTCTACAAACTAAGAGAATTCCTATCCTTTAGATCACTATTTTTCTTAGCCTATTTAAATCCCCCAAATAACAATATTGCATTAGCAAATATATGTCTCATTATAAATTTGGTCCTGAATTTGTTATACATATAGTCTTAAAGCAAATATGAAACTAGAATACTTTACGAAGTCAGCTCATCATAGAAAAAAAAAAAACAACCAACCCAAAACCTTTTTGTTCTGTATATATACACACATACATGCAAGTTTTCATGCCTGGATTCCACGCAAGACCTGTAGTTTTTAACCTTCAGAAGCAGCTGTAACACAGCATGAACTTGTCATTAAGAAATACCACCGTAATCCAAGACAATTCTTCCCCCCCCCGGCCCAATTCAAATAGGTAATGTTCTGTAGAGAAGTCCAGCAAAATACATAAGCAAAATCCAAAAACAATAAATGAGGAAAGGCCTCATATGGCTGTTTGCGTAATCAACTCCCTTTAAGTCCAAAACAAAGAAAGGGAAAAAAGCAGAAAAAAGAAAAAAGGAATTATGAATACGTTGTCATCTTCTCTCCAGAAATACCTATTGCAGTAAAAGCCTCATGTTGTGGATAGAATTCAGGTTTCAGAAATTTCCACAATAATCGAAAGATCTGTACCTTATTCATCAGATTGAACTGACACACACACACAAAAATTTGTGTGAATATTTGTATAAATCAGAAGGAAAGAAACAGCAACAAAATTGATGTGTTTTTAGTGAGCTAAGGTCAAAACATCTGCTGTATAAACATTTTGGTTATCTAAAGACTCACCTAACTCAAATGCATGAAGAAAAAAATACCATACCCGAAAGATATTTCAATGTCTAGTTAAAGCTCTGAAAGTCATTACTTTGTCCTATACTGTATGTATGAGACCCAGAATGGGAATCCACAGACTTAAACATCTCTAAATAACTAACGCCCTGGGGCTGATCTTCAGCTTCTGCAACTTCAGCTTCCAACTCCACTGACTTGAATAAATGTATGGTAAGTTGAGCGAGTTGAATGCTTATCCCAGTATCTTTTACTAGCGTATATGTAGCACTTCAAGATGTATGCATTCTTCCTCTCTAATCTCATCCAAATATATTTCCAGAAGTGAAACTGCAGAGCATGAAAACTTAAATGGCACTGCACTAGGAAAAGTATTTTTATCCTTCAGCCATCTGTTATTAAGATTATGAAAAATGCAGACTTGGACATTCAGCTATTCTCAATATTCTTCCTTGCCACAACACAGTAATTTGATGAAACATTTACCTTTACTAGTAGTCAGTATTTTTAAAGTGTTACATTCATGACCCTAGAAATGTATTCTGCTGCTTTGGTTTTAAACCAGTTGGGACTGCTCCAAAATAAAACTTGATTTTAAGAAATAAGGCATTCCCCCAAAATATAAATGGAATAAACCGGTTTTGGAATAGTCAAAGGGAGTCCAATATTTCTGAATTGCAATTCACACATATGCACATCTGAATGACTTTGGAAAGGAGGAGAAAAAGAGAGGCTCAAGTAATATTATTTGCAAAATGATCCATAAATAGAACTGAAAGAGGATTTGATTAAGAAAGGCAAAAAGTTTTTCTGTCAATACTTAAAGCTCTTCTACCCAAACAAAATGCAAAGTTCTTTAGCAAATCTGACTCAACATAATCTAGACACATTTCATGCATTTCACATCAAACCACGTGACACAGTGAAATCATTGTTAGAGGATGAAGAGCTGTGCAGGCAATAACCAACCACAAAAACAAACATCTGGTCATCTGATCAGAAGACAGTGACACAGCATTTCTAACAAGAAAATGTTAGCATTCCTGAGGACTATACCAGCATATGTATGCGGGAACTTCAGAGACAAACAAATGTTATTTTGTATACTGCAATACCCACTGGAAATAATTTAGATTCTCAAACCAAAATTTTCATTTTTTTTCCAAAAGCACAGCTGTTTAATGGGCTACCACCTTGCAAGAGACTGGTCAGGAGTTACAGCAAAAGCCAGAGAGACACAAGACTGCGTTTCCCCAGCTACCTTGGTCCCAAATGTTCAGTATTACCTTGGGCAAGCAAATAAGAGCATTGTCTTTCGGAACAAGTAGCACTTTCCAGTGCCTTCATTTCAAAGTACTTATTTTGAGATACTTTTTGTCTGGTGCTATTCTACAATAAATGAAAAAACTCGGTATTTACAGTCACTTTCAAAAGGCTGTCCCCTAAGCTTTTTGAAAAAAGCTACCTTCACACTTTTTTCCATCTAGAGAACAGAAAGAGAAACAATTCTTACACTTCCATTCTTAGTTTTACTTATAGAAGTTGAGGTAATCAGCATTTTCGAAGCATTTCAAGACATTTGATAGAAGGGATGGCAAAAACTGTTTCAGAGGCATTACACAGCATCAAAATCACTTATTTCATTATTTAAAATAAGTATGCCACTAAAAAAGAAAATTTGTACAAATCCTCATAATTCACATTTAAATTCTCATTGCACTGTAATTTAAATTCCCATTTAAATTCTAACTGTACTGCAGTTCATGACTAACTAAACTACATACAAAATACTAGTTTTCTAAACAGGTAATTATACATATACATATATGGTAATAACTAATATCATTTGAGGACTAGAGGTAATTCATTCTGAAGCGACTGGTTACTAGCTCAGGTTGAAATGTAACACCTGTACCCATGGTATTCTGCTGTACCTGTGGGAACTAAATCTACCACTTTCTGAATTACTATAAATATATATTGAGTTGCATTTCAGTAATAGGCACCTCCTCAACTTTTTGACCTGACCAATTACTTAATCCCAGATATCCTATATGGCAAGCAGACATTTGCAAAGCAACACATCTTCTGTAACTGTAGCAATTTATATGCAGTTAGACACGGTAAGTACTGGAAGCGAAAAAATGATTTTGAGAGACCATCTTCATTCTGTCTACAGCCACATACACAATTCACTGCACATCATTTAAAGTCTACAGTAAACAATTCATTTCCACAACAGTGCTACTGTATGCTGTGAAGAATTCAAAGAAAAAGCAAAAATGAAGATTTCTCTAACACTTCTATGAGGTAAGTACTATTATTATCCCCACCTTATACATGGAATTAAGGTATAGGTATTAGATTAAAAAAAAAGCACACTTATCTAGGTGCTATTCTAAAATACTTACTGCCTGATCTCCAGGGTACTGTTGAGTTTCCTAATCCTACATTTTGTATGAAATCAAAGCCAACACAACTAGTGATCCCATTACAAAGTCTGATACGGATCCTCCCGCTGCATGTGGGAGCTACTTGATAGAGCCATAGTCACTTCTTCTGATGCCATTCAGTAGCAACATCAAAATACTACCCTTCAGCATCTTGCATCATTCTCCAAACATCTTCAGATTTTTGCAAAAAATGAGGCATGTGAGGAGAAAATAACATACCAATAAGAGCTTCTTTCACGTCATGAACCTTACCATACCAAGATGTTGGCAGAGCAAGGTCCGTCCTAAAGAGAACACAGCTCTTTCAAGGAAAAAATAGCCCATGACCACGTGAAAAGTCAGTAGGTGTATCACAACTGTTAAATAGTTTAACTAATGTAGAACAGCCAGCCTTAATTATAGCCCAAGTACTTCACTTTGCATGATTAATAGAATTTCCTGTAATTTTTCAAGCTTTCATATAGGGAAGAAAACGATATTCCTGGAGAATCATTGGCCAGTCCTCCCCTATCAAACATTAGCAAGGTGAATCGTCCGAGTAGGTGACTATAAGCAAATAGCAATTTGTAAATGTAGAAGACATATGCTACACAGATCTACTGCATAAGATGAACGGAAATATCCACCTTGCCAGAGAATCTCGCTGATGATATCTGCTTGACAAGAAAGCGATGTGAAGATTTAGAAAGAGTACATACAAGTCCAGCTTATTTTAGGCATCCTGACAGTTACAGACCCTTTTGCTTTTCATCTCATTAGTGTCAAATCCTTCTTATCTGCTGTCGTCATTGCCTGCATCTTTTCAAGGTACTTGAAGCCACTCTTTTTTTAACAATACTTCCCTTTCAACACCTAGCAAGCCTTTATGCCTGCTCCTCCCTGGCTATAACTTCTGTCTCCGCACTGATTCCATCTTGTTGCTGCCCCTTTCTCCTTTTACGGGTCCTCCTCTCCTGATCACTCCTTGTTCTCCTTCCTTATATTTCATTTCTTTCCTACCTGCTGTTCGTCACAATTCGGCATCCTTCACTGCTTCCTTCCCCAGTGCCTGGATGCTACCAGGAGAAGCAGAGAGCCGAGGAAGAACAGCCTCTGGTTTCAGTGCTGACCAGACCCTGGGGCTGTGAGGAGACGGAACACACCCTGCACATGGAGACCATGTGTTTGCTGAGCACATTTAAACCCAGAGTGTTCACAATAACAAATGTGAGGGGTTTGTTTTGTTTGTGGTGTGTGTGGGGGGGTTTGTTTGTTTTTTTAAATTAGCAGAATGCCCAACCGTGATACAGGAACAAGCTTCTTACACCTCCCTGCCAAGTTTCAAGCCTTGGCTCCTAACACTTTTATAAACCATTT